GGGGGCCCCGCCGCTGCGAAGCGAGTGCGTTGAGTACTTGGTGGGGTCTTGTCGAGGCGTCGCACACCGTCGCGGATGAGCTGCTTGAATGAACTGAGATGTGTTGGCTGGCTTCTCATTGCACGTCGCCTGCGCAGAATTGTCGGTCTCGGTTGCTTCAGCCAAACGAGAGTCTCTGCAGCGCCCACCATGCCGGGACCGGGAAACCAGGGCACCCAGACAACGACAAGCCGATGTTGACGCCGGTGCACCGCTGGTCCGCGTTGGCGCGTGGTGATGCGGCGTTGACCTCGTGCCCGTCGCCTTCGAGTTGAGAACGTTGCTCGAGGGCCATGACGGGCGTCCTTGACCGTGGTAGCGTGCTTCGCGGCTTGGAAACTTGTCTGACTGTGCGGGGAGAGAAACCCAGTAGCGTAGCCCCCAAGAGTGAGCGCTGCTGTGGGTTGTCGAAGTCGCGCATAAAAACTGGCTCCGTGCGCTTCGTGGGTCCCTCGTCGCGATCCATACATCGCCAACGAGTTGGGGTCGGGAGCCAGCGCCACGATTCGCCATCGGCCAAGTTCATCACGTAAGAGGAGATCGCAGTGCAGCGGTGCCGCACAAGGCGCCGTGAGCAGGTGCGCTTTGCGCCAGTTGACGTAGAGAAAGTTGAGTCGCCTGGCTAATGCGCTTTGTCTACAATCTCGAAGCATGAGCGCCGACATCATAGTAAGATTTGATGAGCGTGCAGCGCATGAGCGACCGTTGGACCCGAGGTCCATGCACGGCGCCGCTGCGCCACCGTTGGACTCAAAGTCCATGCACGGTGCGCCCGAAAAGCCGCTGATCGAAACCAAGCACGGCAATTTTTTGGCAGCCGTTGGACCCGAGGTCCATGCACGGCGCCGCGACGCCACCGTTGGTCTAAAAGTCCATGCACGGTGCGTCAGAAGTACCGCTGGTCGAGATGTCCATGCACGGCACATTTTTTGGCTACCGCTGAATACAAGATCCATGCACGGTGCCTGCGAGCGGCCGTTGGACCGAGGTCCATGCACGGCGCCGCGACGCCACCGTTGGTCTAAAAGTCCATGCACGGTGCGTCAGAAGTACCGTTGGTCGAAACCAAGCACGGCAAAAGTTGGCGGCCGCTGGACCCGAGGTCCATGCACGACACCGCTGCGCCACCGTTGGTCCGAGGTCCATGCACGGTGCGCCCGAAAAGCCGCTGATCGAAACCAAGCACGGCAAAAGTTGGCGGCCGCTGGACCCGAGGTCCATGCACGACACCGCTGCGCCACCGTTGGTCCGAGGTCCACGCACGGTGCGTCAGAAATATCCTTGGTCGAGATGTCCATGCACGGCTCATTTTGGCTACCGCTGAATACCAGATCCATGGACGGTGCCTGCGAGCGGCCGTTGGACCGAGGTCCATGCACGGCGCCGAGATGGAAATTTGTACTCGTCCATTGAGTTGGCTGCGTGGACGGTGTGTTGGTGGTAGATGCGACAGCGCGAGCCCGTTGAAGACCACCTCCTCGACCACCTTGAAGCCTTGATGACCATGCCGGCGGTGGTTGAGGTGGCACCTCCACTGGCTCGGCCTCTGCGGGAATTTGCTACGCCAGGTGGGCTCCCGTCCCCACCCCGGCGCCTTCAAACCGACTCAGGCAACGCGGTAAAGACTTGGATGAGCCCACCGTAGGCCTTGGTAATGTATTCCACAACGCATCGTTGGCAAACAGTGTGGCCGCTTGATGCGGTTTGCGTCGGCGCACTCGGTCGACCCGTCGCATCCACGAGCGGAGAGAAAGCGACAGCAGATACCATTGCTGGCTTGCCTGGGTAGCTTGTTGTAGACCTCCGACGACATTTCGACCTTCTCATGCGAGACGTCCGTGTGACCCGCGCGCCCATTGTCGTTTTTGAACGCGCCCGCGCTGCGGCTCGGATCGGATGCGCTCATGAGTTGCTCGAGAGTTGCCAGAGTTGATGCCTTGAAAGCCTCAAACTCCTCAGCCTTGCGTGTGGTCGTGACTTTGAAGAGGCGATCAAGCTCGATGGAATCGCGGTTGAAGAGTTTGTGGGTCTCCTCGTGAGAAGACATCGATGACGAGCCCGTGACATCGCGATGGAGGTTTGCCGTGAACCGAGAGAATATCGAGTCAATCCATTCCACTAGGTCGTCCGCCGTGTCCGTCGTGACAACGTTCGACGCGACGAGCGCTTGTACGGTAAAAATGCCTTTGGCGATGAACTGTTGCACGCGCCGGTGGCAAAACGTCGCGGCGTAGAGAGATAAGTTGGTCAATGCACCCTCGATGGCAGAGCTCGGAGGCCCCGCCAGCTCGGCCTCGGGAAGCAGAGCCTTCGACGAGTAGTCTTGCCGAATGCTTCGGTTGTTTTTGGTCCACGTCCGCATGTCGCCCACAGAGCGACGTTGAAAGTGCAAGATCGAGAGCTGGCCCTCGTCAAAGTTGAAGGAATAGAGGGCCCGCAGCACGCTGGGATAGCGAAAGAAGTAGAGCTCCTCGTGAAGGACCGAGCGGAAAAAGTCGGAAGGCGGTGAGGACAAGTACTCGGCAGACGTGATGAGAGCATGGATGGCCTGCTCGGTGCGTTTGGGTACAAAATCGGTGCTAGCTCGCTTGGCGTCACGTCCGGCCGCAATACGACGAGCCCGGACCAAATACGCGCCGGCTGTGTCCCATGCTCGAGGGTCTGCTGAGAGGTGGGGCTGATTGAGGACGGGGCGACCGCTCGCTGATGCCGCCGGGCCAGTCGCGCCACTCCAAAATTCACTGTCCGCCCGCCCAAACTTCGGATCCTGGGGTGTGCCTTGATGGTTTGTACCCCAGAACACCGACGAGGCATCGTCCAAGTCTTCTCCCTGCGATGCCGACGAGCGCTCGCTGCTGTTGGACGCGTCCGAATCGGGATCGTCGCGGTTGGATGCGGCGTCATCGGAACCGTCATCCACGTCGGGCGTCATCCGCGGCTCCCAGTATTCCTCGCCAAAGGCGCGCGGCGGGAGACCCCGGCGATCTGCTGTCGTCCAAAAGACAAAGTCGACGGCATGCTGCACCACCACGTCGACCAGTTTGCCCGTTGTTGGAGCTACGATGGCGACGCTTGCGTGTGGAGGCGGCACTGCGTCGCGTGGCACGATGTCGTCCAGAACGTCCAATATGTTCGACGACGTCCGGCCGAGATCAGTGAGCCGGTCGCGAATTGCGACTTGCATGCGCACGGCCGCGGCCCAATGACGTGACACTTGACGGGCTGTGCCTGTGGGCGACGACAACCGCCATAGTATCAACGCGCTGACGTCGGCGCACGAGCGCACATTGTCACGGGGAACCTCGATACGACCCGATATGGTTTGGATCGAAAGAGACTCCGTCGCCATGTCGTAACCCCGGACTTGGCCCACATGAACCTTGTCGTCGTGCTTGCAGATGACGAACTGGCGAAGCCAAAGGCCAAGCCGGTGAACTTCAGCTTCCGCACGCTGCACCACGGGAAGCGGGCGGCCCCGCACGGAAAGCTCCAGCATTTTCGCCGGCGCGTTCTCCGTGGCCACCGTAGTCAAGTCAATGTACGTGGCTCTGGAGCGCGCGCGCTTCGACTTCGTGATCTTCGCGTAAACCGGCCAACGGAGTTGCCCTTGCGGAGCTTGCTCCGGCAAGACGAAGACATACGAGTTGACCTTGTAGTAGATGGCGACCATTGGAGCCTCTTTGCTTAACGGGAGCCGAGTTCTAAAATGAGAGTGGTTTCGCAGCTCCGCTCTCGAAAAGTTCGTTTCGGCTCCTTGCGTCGCAAAACACCCAGTCTGTACTTCTGTAGGTTCAGAATCCGCCAATAAAATTGACCACAGTCGTGTAGCGAAGCCAACACGGTCCACGTATGCTGGGTGACCTACCGTTTTGTTGCGAACAATCGTAAACGACTTGGTAGATGTCCTACTGCAGCGGACTTGCTCTCGGGCAAGCCGCCAAGTTGCCGCTGGGACAGGGCGGGATTTTGCTCCCTTGTTCATTTTTGCAATTCCTCACGCGTCGGTTGCTCGATCTACTTAATATGCAGAAACCAAGCCCACTGGAGTCTGCTCTGAAGCCCTCGACATCAACTATCGCTGCTTCGATGCCAGAGGGTGACGTCATGGACGGTACACTCACTTTCGACGGGCTTGAGACTGCCGCCAAGGTCTTTTGCGCCCACGATGGCGAGATGTCTCCGATGCTCATTGCGCGCAGCGAGCCGCTGATCGCGTGGCGTGATGACGAGACGCTCAACGGCCGCCAGTTCCACGTCGTTTTCGGTGCCACGTTCGATGGCGGTCCTCGGAATTCAGCGACGCTGGCTGCGATCTTCTTCGTCCGACGTACCCTCTGTCGCGCGCAGGCGCTGCGCAGCACGACTGGTGATCTTGGCATCCAGACGGTCGGCATTTCCGATGCGTTCTCCATTGGACCTTCCCAGGATCTCACGCTCGATGGCGAAGTGTAAGGCCGGTTCTTGTGGTCGAGCTCCAGCACAACGCACGCATCCTGGAGGAACTCAAACGCACGAATGCACTGGAAGATTGCCAAGTCCGGCTGGCGTACATTAATAGCGTCCAGATCCACACAGCCGTCAGCGTCAAGATCTTCGGCGACCAAGGTGGCGAGGTTGGTCGCTTTGGCGCCGTCGTGCTCAAGTATGTTCTTGGTGAGGACGGCGCTGCGACGCTCCAGTTTGCTGCGAGCTTTGGCACGGCGTCGCTCGCGCCTGAATTTTTGCACGCGATGAGCGACGAGGTGCGCAATACAGCATTTGTAGACGGGATTGCTCACGGTCCTGTGAGGTTGCCACGTCAGTAACGGCCATGCGAGCTGCCACGTCAATAACGGCGCTAGCGAGGCCCC